AGGACAGTAAGGGCTCGTACACTCTCTTCCCCAGGCCTCTGCCCCCTTCTTAGCACTATGAGAAGAGTGAGAGGCAAATAATCACTTAGCCCTTCCCAGGTTCTCAGGAGAGCAGAAGGGATTCTCTTACATGAAGTCCGCTCCAGCACCTCACCCCATTCCAGCCTCCACCACAATCTTCCAGAGATAATTATATTCGCACAGCCCCAAATTATCTGGGTGGAGCCCCAGGAAGAAGTAGCGAGATCTCAGCCATTTACGGTAAGTCCCAGAGCCTGCACACCCTGGTGCCAAGTGGGCACCGTCCACTAGTTCCAGGGCTAGTCCACAGGGGAGGGGGGGGTGCCTTCTCAGGAATGTCCATGCAGAATTCCAGCCTCCATCTGGCAAAGAGACCTAAGGATGGAACTTCACAAGACTAGGGCATGTGGGTTCTGTTGCTTCTGAGAGATTCTTCCGCCACCTGGAAAATAAGCATTGAAGTTCCACCTTCAGGTTGGAAAAGGGGCTCTAGCTGCTGTCTTCACCCAACTGTAGAAGGACCAAGATCCAGATGTTCCTCACAATCTCCTGGCTCTCTCTGCTTTTGTGCAGCTTAAGATGGGCAGTTGGGCTTTAAGTTGGGGAAAACGAAAGAGAAGAGAAAAATTCAGAAATTATACCCTCTAGTTACACTTTGAATAGCCACCGTGTTTTAGTTAAGCCAGAAGTGATTTCCAGAAACAGCTTTAGGACCAACAGCCAAGACCTTGGACTTGAATGACTGAGTTAAGGCAAGGTCATTCTTCCCCCGATATCATCATCTTTATCAATCAAACAAATATCATTGATTGCCCAATACAATCTGGAGCTCTTAAGGAATTTATGATCTAATTTGGGTATCAGGAAAGATGCATAAAGAGATAATAAATAGGAAAAGCAAAGGAGAGAAAAAGAGAAGCAATATCCGATGCCCCCTGGAGGTTGGCAGATAGGGAAGTCTCCATGGACAAGAGAGGGCTTGAGATACTGGTCAGACAAGAAGGGGGAGAGCCAGCCAGACATGGAGGACAGCAGTGGGAAAGGCACAGAAGCAGGACAGTGCCTGGCATGTTAGGGAAAAAAAGAGTAGGTTAGTTTGGCTGGAATAAAGAGATTGGGTAGAGAAGTGATGTCTGAGGGGCTGGGAGAGATGGGAGGGTAGGCAGGCTAGAACTTTGGCTAAAACTTGAGACACTGTCCTCTGGGTAGTAGGGAGCTCAGGAGAAAAAACCTTGGTATAGAGGAGGAAGGGGTGGAGCGGATTGGTGGCAGGGAGACCAGTGAGAAGGATGTGATCTTGGAGTAAAACTGAGGTGAGTCAGAGCAGAACCAGAATGTGGGGAAGGCAAGGAAGCGACCAATGCAAGTGACTGATGAAGAGCAAATGGGTAGGATTCAGTGACTGAGATGGGAGATGGGAGGAAGGCAGAGGAAGAGAAAAGAAGAGAAAAAAAGAAGAGCAGAAGTACTTGGGATGACTCCCTGGTTTCCAAACTTGAGTGACCGAGGGAATGATCACATTCCCAGCAGAATTTTTCTTCCCGTTTCTCAACAAGATTCCTCTCGTTCTTTAATTCTGGTTGTCCCTCAGAACTAAAGGAAACTCCATCCTAGCTGGTCCTAACAGAGAATAACATAGGATTCTGATGTCCTTTTTGTATAAAGAGAACCTGAGGATATGTGACTCATAAAAGATTGAACAGGTGGGGCAGAAGCAGACAGGTACTAGGAGCTCCTAGATCTGATGATTCACAGGAGAATCTTAAACACCAGAGCCTCGGAGAACCACCACGATTATTTAGTGGACCCACTTCTCTTTACAGACAAATTGAGGCCTGCAAATGAAGAATGACCTCCCCAAGGTCACACAGCCAGTAGATAGCAAGGTAAGCCTAGAACCTGGCTTCCTGAATCTTAATCCAGAGTTCCTTGCATTTCCACTTGTTGCTTAGTGTTTTATCTCTGTGTGTGTCTGTCTGTCTGTGGTGTGCACGTGCTTGCTGAGTGACAGGGGCTATTTTATTGGAATGATATTTTCTCTGTGGATTTACTACAAAACATACCTCACCTGACTTCTCACGTAATAACAATAGTAATTCAAGACTGACTTTTGTTTAAAAGCCTGAGTTTGTAACTTATATGAGAGTTGGTTTCTCTTCCCATCTCTACCCCAACCATCTCTGGATCTATTTTAGGTCAAATGGTCTCAGCTGAGCTCTAAGATCTGTCTGTCGCCTTTCCCAGTTCTGTACCTACACAATTCTGCCAAGGCATGGAACAGATATGAGATCTTTTTCATTTGAAGCCAGCTTTATCAAAATACATCATTTGTAAGCTAATTGGGAAGAAGGAAGATTGGGAGGAAGAAAAGGAAAAAACAAGAACACATAATACCAGGTGCTCACAGAACATCTAAGAGGGAGATAAAAGAAAGGAAGGAGAGATGGAACACTAATGGAAAATAGGAGAATGGCCTTGACCAAAAAGGATTTTAGATTAATGGAGAGAAGGAAGAACCTTCTGCCCACTCCAGCAGAGAGGTTCTTGGTAATTCCCTCTGCCAGCCCCACCAGAGTGGTCCCTGGAGGAACCCTGAACAAGACCCAGAACTTCCACTCCCAACATTCTGTGGCTAATTGGAAAAACTCATTGATACTTGGTTTACCAGTCAGAACCCTGATGTTATGCCAATCTCAGAAGCCACCAAATATCCAATGAATTCTCCCACTAAAAAATACCTACAGGAGGCAGAAGGCCTCTTCTTGCCTGCTGAGGAAGACATGCAAACCATCCCAGACACTTTTCTCTTCCTCCCGAAGGGGGGCTGCCTGGTAATGTTCCCATCCCTCCCAAGGCCCTGTGCTGCCAGGGACACCATTCAGAGAAACTTTGTTATCTCCACACCTGTCCCAAGGCCAGGATGGCTGACGCCAGAGCACCTGGGTTCCTTCCTTCTCTGGGGTGAACAGCGGATGTGTCCCAAAGAGGGTAAACATTGACATGTGGAACCATACTGGGGTCAAGAGGTCCGCTTGTTTGGTGTTCTGAGAGCCAACAAGAGGAAATGCATTTTAACCCAGAAAGAAAAAAATTAACGTGTCCAGCTGTGAATGACAGCCAAGCCAGCAGAAGGTAGGCGAAAACAGACAGCTGAGAAAGGGACTTGATGGGCTTCCAAGAAGATATCACCCGAAACAGTGGAGATGGCTGGAAGGCCAGGGCCCAGTGCGAGAGCTACGGTCACCTCATACACAGTGGTCACTTTGTCACTCACTGACCATGAATGTCCCTTGATCAGCATGCAGAATTGTACTTCCAGAAGTAAAGGAGGGAAGCCAACCATGTCTGAGGTCAGCCTTGCTTATAAACTGTGAATTCTTGGAAAGTGTATGCGTGTGTGCATGTGTGGCGCACGCATGCACTACCATGTGCCAGTGGCAGACTTCATCTTCGTTGGGTATTTCCTGCTGCCGCTATTACTAAAATATCTTGGACTCTCTGTGCTGATATATGAGAAGCTGTTGCCCTTTTCAGCTTTCTACTGGGCTACCTGTCTTCCAGTCTCCATTTCTCGGGCCAGTTCCCTCATGGGAAGACATCTAACTGTGCTAAACAGATTTAACTAAACTGAGATAAGTCCATGAATACATGCCATCACACATCAGCAAAGCTCTGAAAATACAAGTATTCAGAACCAACTAGGTCAAGATCCACCTCAAGACACAGCTTCATTAACTCGTAAAGCACAAAACCCAGAGGTGAGAGCCTTGAGAGGCATATGCTCCAAAGTTCAAGGAGTGCTCAGACAAAGAAAACCTTGGCTGACAAGCAGAAATGTCTTACAAAGAAAACAAGAAAAGCCTGATGTCTTTCACTTACCTTTCCTGGACAGCTGCCTTCTTTTGAGATGCCCAGCTCATTTGCCTGGATTCATCACAAGAGAAGCAGATTCTAACTACCCTCCATCAGCCAGAGAAAAGGAATATTACATTTTGGAAGGTAAATTCAGGGGGCTGGTTTTGGGATGATGAAGTACTGACAGTCCCCAAGAATATTTTCAACCCAAAGTATAATTTTATAAAGAGGCTTATGTTTTAATTTGCCTGTCTGTAAAATACACTCTCATGAAATTTCATTTTCTTTAAACCTTCTTATTTCCTTCCTGTATGGATCTAATGAACTTGATGGTATATAACATTACACTTGGGCTTTAAGTCAATAAGTTCCTGTATAGTGATGGTTGTTTTTTTAATGGCTACCCTATAGAAGGTATGAAGTCATAGAATCCTAGTAATCAAAGCCAACCATTGGCTTTGCAACTAGAATATATAAGGAAACAGAAGGTGGAGTGACTTGTCCAGAGCACACAGTGACAGAGGCAGGGATCTAACCTACCCCTTGACAACAAGTCCAGGGCTCCTCTCACTTCTCTGGTGGCCAAAAAGGGGTAGTGTTTTGAAATGTTGACCTTCTCAAAAGGGAACACTTGAAAACTATTGCAAATCCCAAAGATGAATCTAGTGGCTTCCACAATGATTGGGTGAAAGGTAAGAGAAGGATCAAAGGGCACTGAATAAACAAATGGGGAAGAAAGCCATTTACTCGTTCCTAATTTTAAGAGCTATTCAGATCCCATTAAGGGCATAAAAGGGACAAGTCTGCTCAAAGATTGGAGGTTTGCCTTCCATGACTGCAGCAAGACCACGCAGTTCACCTGAAAACTAGGAAGAAGAGGACTTGCTTCATCCAGGATGAGTGATAGTGTATCAACCAATCTCTGCCATTTGGCAGTTTCCTTGTGCATCTGCCCAGAGTCACAAGGTACTTCCTGC